TATATCTCAGCACTCTTGTGTGACTATATGTATGTAGATAGCACCGCCACTCTCATAAAATTGGGAACTATACTGTCTGGAAGTGTGTTTATCGTGATATATCTGACGACGACGTCTGTGGGCTGGGTGTTTCGAGATGCATGGTCATCTGTCTCTATATACACCTGTTAGCGCTCCTCTCTCGCGCCGCAGAGAAAAGAGTAGCGGATCGATGGATGTCTGTCTATGTCTGTGTATTCTGCCGAGATAGACGTCGTGAAAAGCGTAGCACACACTGTCTGGCGGCCAAGCCCGCCGCTGAGCACACGCCCGTACAGCACCCCTGCGCACAGCAGCTGCAGATGCAGACACGAGCGTTGCGTCCATATTATATTCTGTTGCTATTGCTGCGCTCTTTGGGGTTTGCCTTTTGCACCTGTTCCGACTTTGTCGGAGAATACATTGAGGTGTTCATACGTCCTCCACTACGAGCGAGGCCCGTCTCTTCCGTTCGTAACATGAAGCATTTTCAAAATGTCACTCACACGGCAATTCCTGTGGACGCAGAAAAAATGAATATATATAATATATATATATATATATAATAATAAATATATATATATATATATATATATATATATATATTATAACGAATATTGCATCACCTGCAGGAATTCGTTGCGCGCGGATTGCGTCATCTGCCGGCGTCCCTTCCCTTCTCCCCGAACTAGACGGTTCAGGATAATTCGCGAGCCGCGGGGAAACGCCGAGAATGTGCCGGGTGCATGGAGACGAGCGCCGGGCAGGTATAAATGCGCCGCCGGCGGCGGCCGCGAGTCAGTTAGTAGAAGACAGTGGGTAGTAAGACGTCAGTGAGTAGCAGAGAAGCAGTTAGTCCGTCAGTGTGTCCGAAGTGGAAGCTGTGCTGTGAAGGGTGCATCGTGGTTAACAGCAGTGCAGTGGACCCTGGTGTATGCAGGGAATTGTGGTCTGTGCAGGGATTTGGGTCAGTGCAGTGGACCGTAGACAGAGCATCGGACTGGATGATACTGTAGAAGAAGAGAACGGTGTAAATAAAATAGTGTGTAAGAAGTGAACTGTAAATAAATCATCAAGAGAACGGAATCGTGTGTAAAGAAAAATAATTAAGTGTAATATCCGTAAATAGACCAAGTAGATTTTAGTGTATAATTGTTCACGAATAAACGTTTTTGTTTAAACATTACGTGTGTTGGTTTTAATTCACCACGAGAAATATGTTATGGTTGCGTAGTCTTCCGCGGCCGGAGTTTGTGTTGAGTAGGCTATCCGGGGTGAGCCGCGTCTCTAACATGGTGGCTAGCCAGCGTATGCCAGAATACGCAGGGCGAAACGTTGGTCACCATGTCAGTGACGCGGCTCAACCCGGATAGCATGCACAACAACTATATATGTTAGCCCAGCCAGCAATGCCATTGTCTGTGCGGAGCATCTGATCGGGAGGATCTAGGATCCGAGTGTATCTGATCGGGAGGACCTAGGATTCGAGTGCATCTGATCGGGAGGACCTTGGATTCGAGTGCACCTGATCGGGAGGATCTAGGATTCGAGTGCTGACGGATTATCCGTGGAATTTTCGACACCAGCTTGAGAGCTCTGACGAATTCAGCCGTGGTCGAGAATTCTAACGCCGGTTACTCTGATCGGTAGAATGCTGTGGTTTCCCTTATCAGTACCAGGCGAATGACGCTGTAGTACACTAAAAAGGGCTCAGAAACCGCACGCTATCTTTCGTTCCTCTTCCTTATGCTATCCTCTGCGCTTACTCACACAGATATATTAAAAAGGTTATCTCGACAAAGTAACGGTAATGTACAGGTTATCGAAACCCTCTTGATTGCTTCCTCTTAATGGTATTTCGAAACTATTACTCCCCTGTTCTACTTTGTCGTCGTATTTTGTAAGAAGAGAAAGTAATGTAATCACGGACAGGAAATGGATGATGTTTTTTACAGAATAACACTTATTATCGAGCCCTGGAAACGAAAAAAAGGATAAATAGTGTTTCAAGTGTAGTAAATTATTAGAATCTATGTTTTGTGTATCAATACCGAAAAATCGATTTGAGGAACACGTGTGCCTATCAACGGTACTACCTAAACCGTTCAGATATTTCTCCAAAACTGATATTCCCAATCCAGTTTGAAACGCAAAGTTCCGCGTCTTTCAAAAAAATTTTGATTGCGAAGGGCACTACATATGAAACTTGAGTTTTTTGAGAGTAATTTACATAAAGTCCAAACATTTTCAATTTTCTTAAAAATAGCATTTAATTTTTGTAATTAAATTTTGTTGTCGAACAGCGTTACTAAACAATGGCATAAGTTACGTATTTATCGAAATCACTGATTTTTCGAAAACTGCGAAAGTGCAAACTACAATAGGGTGTTTTTGTTATTGAAATCTATTGTTCAAATACCGATTTTGAAACAATCACACTCAGAAATTATCGAAAAATAAGAGTAGTTTTTGCGTCATTGCGCTTGAAATTCACGCAATTTTTAAACAGTTCCTAAAACGGCTCCACTTTTTACTTTCTCGCTACGGAGTACAGAGAAATTTATGTAATGATGCACTAAAAATGGCGAAATTTAGGCTTTATTATAGTGTCCTGGTAATGATGATATTAATGTTTCGTTTTGTGCATTATTTTTTTTACTTCTCTTGTAAGCTACCCACCATGTGTAAAAGTATTTTCGGCACTGAGACGTCACCGTGAAAGAAGTTTTTTACGCACGGTGACGACACAGTTGTGAGATGTTTTAAGAAAATAACTTTACCACACGTAGGGAAAGGTAGAATTCCACATTTTTATATGATCGTAGCAAATAATTTTTCACGCTTCGTGCACTTGGATTGGTAATGCGTTGTATAAGTGATATCTGACATGTGTGACATCACAGAAATTGTGATGTGGTTACATAAGTGACATCACAGAAATTGTGATGTAAAAATATTATGTAACACGTTACTATTGCAGGAAAGTAGGTGCTGTAGTATCACCATTAGTGTTATTTGCAGAGCCAAAAATTTGCATACTTTTTTGGTTTCAATGAGCGCATATATTTTATTAGTTGTATCAATTTGTTAATTTATGAATCTTTACAAATCTCAATGACATCGAAAATAATTCCAATACAATTAAATGATTGAATTAGGACCTCACACCCTTCTTGGTAGTGCACTGGACCATTGGAAGTATTGCTAGGGTTAAATTGATATTTTCACTTTTGTATACTCTGCAGAGTTCTACTGACAAGCACCAGAGAAGTAAAACGTCCGAGTTCGACTCCTTGAAATGTAACTGGAGAATGAGAAAGCAGATTGTGGTACTTTCTTCCTTATAATTTACATGAATAATATTGTTGTGAAAAGGAAATTAAGCATTTAAAAAATCCTGCATATATCTTAAAGAAATGTACGTATATTAAGTTGAAAACCGCATCTAGGTGGTCATTTAGAATTCACAAACCCTCCCGACAGAAAGTAAAAAAAAAATATAAAAGCCTTTGCATATTCCTGGCATCAGATCCTTTTTGAATACTCACCGTCTGCTGCAGAAATATGGCTGATGAGAAAACTCATTTTCTCTCATTTCTCTATAGTGTCTCATTTCCGGAAATAATAAAGTACCATACATCTGCCACACTTCAGAGCCTTGTATTATTGCATAACGTTCCTTTGTTTTATTTTTGACAATTGCTAAAAACTCTTGTTGATGGTTCCATGTGCGTTTAGACATTTTCGACAGAACTTCGTCAAAAATTGCCGCCCTAGCGGGTACTAACAATGTCATCTTTTCGTTTGCCAGCTGTTCGAAGGTGTTTATATCAGCATCATATTCCGGATTCCTAATAAGGTCAAACAAGCGGCCCTGGAACACGAAATTCACATCCAATAAATACTGATAAGTAGAACCAGGATTTGAATGACCTAAAAATCAACAAAATATGCAAGCATTTATGATCGAAAACTCCCACCATTATGACATTAAAAATATAATGTTGTATTTTGTAAGTTTATTTTGTAAACGTCACACAATCATGAACGAACAAAGAGTTCGAACTGTAACTTAACGATGAATGATTTGATCTTGTTACTTTACATCGAGCCATTGCCTTTGTCGGTATCGCTGCCGCGCCCCTCTCGCCCTAAAGTTTTCTTTTGCCGTCGCCTTCTCGGAAAGGTCATTCATGTATTAGTCAATACCGGGCGCCGCAGTTTTGTGTTTCCCACAAGTTACCCAGTAAACCCAAATTAGCTTTTCAGAATTTTCGGTATATCTAGTAATGAATTTCATGGGCATGTGGCGATGTTGGAATGGGTGAGATCACGCCCCACCCCCACACCATTCGTTCAAATTCAACGAATAGTGATCTACCTTGCGTATTACATTATACGTGCTACATGTTTTGTTCGTGCACAAGAAAAGTGAAAAAAGGCTGCAATGCACCGGAGAAAAAACTGTTTCTGTCTGTCAGTCAGTCTGTCTGTCTATCTGTCCCACTCTGCCTCTGAGTGTCAGGCTGTCTCTATCTGTCTGTCTGTCTCTCTCACCCTAGGTCTCTGTCTGTTTGTCTCTCTCTGCGCTTCCCTGTATCTCTATCTGTCTGCTTGTCTCTGACTGTCTCTCTGTCACTATGCCTCTCTTTGTCGGGCTCGCTGTCTCCCTCCGTCTCTGTCAACCTCATCCTCTCTTTCTGTCTGTCTTTCTCTGTTTCTGTCGGTTTCTTTCTCTGTCTCTCTTTTTCTCCCTCTCTCTTTCTCTTTCTCTCTCTCTCTCTCTTTCTCTCTCCTCTCCCGTTCCTCCTCTCTCTTCTGCCCTCGAAGGCTCTATACGCCTCCTCCGTCTGGCATCGCTGATACGCTGCTAACTCCAAATTCGTTGACGTATTATCTTTCTCTGTCGCTCTTGCGAGGGAGACCGATTTTTGCCGAAGATACACGATTTGCGTGACGTCAGTCTATATCGGATTCGTGCGTCGAAGATTTTTGTACGAAACGTCGCCGGCTGGTAACGTAATGTGAGCGAGCGGTCATAATGCCGCATATTTTTTTCTGAATTTTATCTCCGAGTAATATTCAAAAACAATAAATAACGAATATTCTTATATCTTACAAAATAATCCGGCTTTCGTTCTGAGATTTGGGGAAATTACTTTGAAAATAACAATTAACATGCCCTGCTGCTGAGCATTGAATTAGGCTTGAGGGCATTCCTCCAACCTTGTCCAGCTACAGCTGAAATCCGTCAGCATTTCTTTGAAAAAATCGAAGTCGGCGATAAGGGCTGACCTGATACATGGCGGCGACGACACGCGAGCGAAGCAGCGCAGCGGCTCAGTGCAGCGCTGCGCGTGCGCGCACCCTGTCCTGCTGGGCGCGCCGCGCACGAGGAAAGGCGGACAGGCGCGCGGCGGCCTGGACGCCACGACTCGCCCCGCCACACCGCCACGCCAGCGCGTTACGCCACCCCGTCCAGCCAGCGCGACCAATCGCGGAGAACACGCGCAGCGGCAGCGACCACGCTGGCAGCGACGCATACGGAACCAGCACAATGTAGCGACCATACTCTCCGGATGAAACAATATCTATCAGATGTGTTGCCTTGTAGATAGAGTATTGTGGCACCAATTCAAATTTTCCCTGAACCAGCAGTTTTTCTAGAATATCGAATGTTGTGTGCCCAGAATCCTAAAAAATAAATGTATGATTACAAATCGTTCTGAACTGCGTACGGGATAAAACTAAATATCATTCACAATTAGTATTTTCAGTCCGCGAGCTGTAAAATACTAGGCATACGTGAATTATTAAATGGTTGTTTCTCTTTTTACTTTCTTGTTTACGTACCAATATACGAAGAAATACGCGTAGTATAGGGAGAGTTATGAAATGCTGCGGAAAATCGATTTCGAGATTTCAACGGAAATACACGTTTTGGGGTCCCCTGATATCAAAAAGTATTATTTTTTCAAATCCGTCCGTTCGTTCGTCCGTCTGTCAGTCTATGAACACCATTAGCGCTCAAGCTATACGTACGATGTTTTTCTAAAATAGATATACCCAGGTCGACCTGACTCCACACGATTTTGAAAAACATTACTCCAAAATTGAGATGCTTTACAGCCCTCCGTTTTGTTTTGAAAATGTTCTGAAACACAGGTCCAAATTTTTTCTTTAAATTTCCTGTAAGAATAGAATACTTATGAAGTTGGCATATAACTTTTACTTTTAACTCTTATTTTCGAAATTTTCAAAAATTTAATTATTTTCAGCTTTTCCCTAGCAATACAAAATTGAAGGTACAGATTGTTCCTTCAAATGGAATTTGTTGTCCATAATTAGTTCTTTCATTAAGGTCATGTACGTTTTTTCGAAAATTTTAAGGAGTTTTCGCGCAGTATTGTGAGAAATATGTGCTGTTTTAAAAATTACAAAAACTAGATTTTCTACAAAATAGCTACAATTTTTTTCTTAAACGTTTAGTACGGATAGTACCCCAGTACTACTAGTAAATGCACTCTTTAAGATAACATAAACGCTAAATTGCCCTATTATTTTGTTTTTTCAAAAAATTAAAAATGTTTTTTAATTATCCTCTCACGTTGTTAGTATGTACATTAGCGACGATTTGTTCCATTATTGAGTTTATAAGCACATACACACACATACACACACACACACACACACATATATATATATATATATATATATATAATGTAATATAAAATACCACGAATTCTTAATACTTTTCTGTGAAAGTAAGATCAAAAGTCCGTATTTTCAATAACGCTCAAACGCAATTTTTTCAAAAACGGCCTCAAATTTTTCAATGACAATAGGCAATTAGGACGAGGTTTTGCTCTTCTTTTATATTCTGAAAGTAATATTTTGGGTATACTATTAGGAAACCGAAAAGTTGAGAAAATTTCAAAAAAATACTTTGACTGGCGATAGATGGCAGCTAGCTAGAGTATGAGGCAAATCCGAATAGCTAGCCAAACCAAAGAAAGTGGAAAAAGAATACGAGAAATTCTGTGACATTCTGTTGCGCCAGTAGTTTAATTTGCCTTTTTGGCGATAAATGTTGCAGCTAACTTCTCTTTAACATGGCAGCTAAATGTCAGTCCGAATGTCTGTAGGGCGATGCTTAGATATTTGTACATCCCGACAGGGGTCCGGTCCTTTTTTTTCTCCTTTCCGAAACTCCATCAAAGCAGTTTTCTCTCTGTTTACTTTCATATCATTCTCCGTTGTCCACTTACACAGGTAGTTCATGGCTTCTTGCAAGTTGTTGACGTTTTTTATTTAGGACATATCGTCTACGTATAAGTAAAAGGAGATTAAACTATATCTTCAATAACGCTGCTGACATCTATAAGTGCAATATTGAAGAGTAGTCGACTTGGGCACTTTCCTTGTAGGATGCTGTTTGTATGATTCTTTTGGATTTTGAAACATTGTTGTCTACATTAATGTAGTTAAGTTGGAGGACGTGTTTTATAACAAGGAGAAGATATTCTGGCGGCATATCAGTCGCCTTATACAAACATACCAAATATCAGCCACGTGCATTTCATGATCATGGACAGCGCTGGCGGAAGAGACGCTGGGCTGAACAAAGGCAAAACCTGGGAAGAAAGGGAAGGAGTCCGTTCGTGTGCGCAAACTTGTAATCCCGGTAACCACTTGGGCAAACTCGTGAACCCGTAGGACATGACGGGCTTTGTGGAAACGCCCGCGAAACAGCCGAAGACGTACGCAGTTCGTCAGCCGCCACAATTCGGTAATACTAAACGACCCCGACCTAAGCTCTTCTTCTATCTTGCCGCGCTCGGAAGAGATCGTGTGGGTTGTGAGCGCGCTGCATTTAATGCATTGGCGACGGAGGCAGGACTGAACCGCGTCTACGTCGAGACGACGGACAGTGCGCCATACCCTTCTATGACTCACGTTAGGCAATGGCATCACACCAATATGATATTTACATCTATACCAGGATCATGCCAGTACCATGCGAACATTCCTTCTAGTAACGGGTTCAAATATTGTTATTTGTATATATTTTACTAGCATTCAGGTGTGCGCATTTTTTTTTTCAAATAAATACTTAATATTTACAAACCGTTCACGTCTGTGATTTATTGCCCTAGCAAAGACGCCACAATATTCTCCTACTCGGATATATATTTCTAATTTATTTACAAACTATTCTCTGTTGAGGATATGAAGGTTTTTAGTGAAATTCATAAAGATTACATACATTTTTTCTTCATTCCAGTCCCAACCACCGAACCGTTCACATCGCAGAGAACTCGTAAAAGTCGAAACATTAGCGTTGGTACGGGCCACCTGATACGGACCTACCAGTTTATATTTCAAGTGCTTTTAAGTAATACGTGTTATGACCAAAACAAACCAATTTCGTAAAACAGTTTTTATTCAGGTTGCATAACATACAAAGTATACCATCAGCAAGCGTAGTCACAACCATTGCCAGAAGATATGCCGGGGACTTGCCACATCACCCAAAACGGAAGAGTTGTTTAATAACTTTGACGTGGTCGCGATCCAGAAGCCAGAAGAGACGTCATTTCACTCGCAGGCTGCGTCGTCCCTCACTATCACTGTCACTATCACCCCTCGTTACTTGCTCTATTGCCGAGATGACTTAACCTGCCCTCCCCGCCCGCTGGACGCCGTTCTATACACAGTCCGGGCTAAAGACTCGCCGACTGGCACGTCTATAAGGGCGACGGCGCGCCTGAAGCGTGACGTTGCACTGACCCCTACCTCTTTTGAGCGTTGCCCGTAGTTATCGAGAGCGCCGCCGTGGGTTTATATGAGGTTAGTTCCGTAATGGGAATTATAAATTGTTATTTTGGGGGAAATAGTCGTCGCGAATAGAGGTTTCACTCTAAGCGTAGTGAGGGAAAGTCGCGACGCGATAATATTAGAGCAGATGTAGGGATTTTCCGAATAGCGGACTATATAGTTGGCAACAGTCGGGTGACATTCAAAGTTTACTCAGGCATTAGGCTCACAAATTACACCACAGAAGGACCCAGAACATCGTCTTTTGGAGAAGACGACGGCATTTTATCGATTGAGAATACGTTTCGTAAGCTTACAAACTTTATCAAAGCCGTACGGTTGAATAATGTTTAAAGTCAATAGAATCATGAATTAATAACGAGCTCGAGCTCGAATGAACTGTTAAGGCGCTTGCGTTGACCATAAACGGACTGAGAGACGTTTTTCTTACAATCGATTTTTCGGTGTCAAAGACGGATAAGGCATGAATTCTGACAACAGAAGGTGTTGGAGGAAATAATTTACGACATATAGGAATACGATTTATCTACTTTCACGTAACTTGGGCCCGGCAATTCTGTAGAAAAATCGACTTTTTCCCCCCAGCATTACAATACTTTTTCTATACTGCATAAGCAGTACTACGCGAGAACCTAAAACGTTGATGTGGGTAGAATAACTATTAATACAAAATGGGGGATTGAAATAAAAATTACAAATATGGGTTGAAAAAAGAAAATAGGCAAAATGAATAAGATAGAGAAATAAATTAGGGAACATCCTGTTTCAGAAGTTAATAAAGGGAAACACTAGTGATGTAACAGAAGGACACAGACTTTACCGCATTAGTTTTCTATTTCTTTTCGTCTCCTTTGGCTCTTCGAACTTGGCACATACTCGTGCCTACTGCCATCTATCGCCGCCCAAAGTACATTTTTTTACATTTTCTTAATTTTTCGGTTTCCTAATTGTAGGGTGAAAATATTATTTTAAGATTATGAAAGAACCTCCTCCTAAATGGCAATTTTCTTTGAGAAATTTGGAGCTGTTTTTAAACTGGCGTTTAAGCGCTACTGTAAATTCAAAATTAGAAGCTCTTTTTCTCAACAAAAAAATACATATTTTTTCGAAAAACTTATTTTGAAAACATTTTAAGTACATTAACTCACAGACAAATGTGTGTTTACAAATTGTAGGAAATGTGCAGGTCAATGGCATGAAACAGTGTAATTTGTGGGAAAATATTATTGGAGAGAAGTACAACAGAAGGTTAAACGCGTTGTATGGAATCGGAAAGAGACATTTTGGAAAATAATAGAAGTATAATGACGTGACAAATTCGACCTGCAAGTGAATTCAAGTGAGATTTTTGTGTAAAATACGAGTTGTAAATAAAACAAATTGTTACTGCTACTTTTACTTACGGCACCAAAGTTCCTTTGGAAAGAAACGGAAACATTCATGCGCAGTCGCTTCTTCATCTCTTCCAACAGCAAGATGGAGTTACCAACAATGCGCATTTCAATGCCGCCGTATCGTAGCCTGTAATTTGAGAAGCTGATGTCCCATAAGGCTGCTGCTCTCACATCTACATCAGTTGAGCCTAGCGATCGCGCCGCTAGGAGCGCTGCAGCCGCACGGCCACCCTCGTCACCAGCTCCGCCACTCTTCCATCTGTACAAGCGCTTCCTGCAATCAAATATTGATGAACCTGAAGCCCGTTTGTAATTTTGAGTTTCTGGTAGCTCCTTTTTGCACTTCAGATTCGCCTAATTTGAATGAATCATTATGAATGGGAATAAAAGGAATTATTACAATTAATTTATGAACACGTGTTTTAAAAGGTTTGTGTACAATTTTTTATTACATAATCTAATAAAACTATTTAATACATTTGTATTGTCCGGGAGCGCGGGAACTTTGGCAACGTCGCTCTGGGATTGTGCGCATGAGTGCTGGACGCTCTGTGGTAAAATTAGCGTTTTTGTAACAAATATAATTAGCGTGCAAATAATTGATTTTATTTGCAGGGTTGCCACCCCTCCGAGTTTGACCTGGAGACTCCGAATTTCAGGAGTGATCTCTGGGCTCCGGGTTACTTTTGAAAATCTCCGAGTCGTATAAAAATATAATTAAATATCTTGTTTTTCATTTAACAAAGAGTTATCTGTGTTTAATAATTTGATTTTATCGACTGTTTTCATATTAATCACACCATATAAATAAAACTTCAAACGAGAAGTACAGATCGAAATAGATCACATACACTAACTGAAAAAAACATATTTTGTGATTAATCTGGAGTTCAAAAGGAATGCACTTATTGATATAGTAATTAATGCGTTATTAACATTATGAATGTGTTACTTATGAAATACTTAAAAAATCGTTAAAAGGCGTATATTATTTAATAATAAATGTTGATTGTGAATTTATGTATTTTTTTTCATTAACTACTCCCCCCTTGTTAATTAGGGATCTCCGAGTCATGTGTATCTTCGAAGGTGGCAACAATAATTATTTCGTGACTTCTAGGCTGTCCGGGTGACGCCACGTAGTTGGCAGAGAGGCTGACGTTTCGCCTGTCCTATCGCACGATTCCTCAGGGTAGTGTCGTAGTCTCTCACGGCAGTGGCGACGTCACTCAGGGTACTGACTTCGTCACTGCCCTGAGGAAGCCTGCGATATGACAGGCGAAACGTCGGCATCTCTGCCAACAACGCGGCGTCACCCGGACAGCCTAGAAGTCATGAACTCGAGCGGAAACCTACGTGGACAATATTATTTCTTTTACATTCTCATAAACGTAGTGCAGAGTAAATTACGTAACGCTGCAAAAATCGATGCTGTGGATTAGATGAAAATTCAAAATTTGGGATGTTTCGATAACAAAAAAAGAAAGTTTTTAAAGAACTGCCCGACCGCCCGATGTCTTATCATCCGTCCATCGGTCGGTCCGGTTCCGCCCGCCCTTCCAGCAGTTCGTCCGCCTTCCGACCGGTAATCCGTTTCGATTGATTAATTACTTCGTGTTTGTGGGAGCGCCAATTGCTGTGGTTGTCATGGTCCGATTAGAAACTGGAAACGCCGCTTCAGTCTTCTGACCTCAAGTCAATAGAGAATTTATGGCATAAATTGGAATGTACAGTCAGTAGAATCCCAATTACGTCATAGTCACATCTGCGAGTGAGAATCCAGGAAGAATGTGCACAAATTAGACAACAGTACCTGAAGAGGTTTATTGGTTCAATGCTAAAGCGATTGCAGTATTTCATTGAAATCAATGGTTATGCTACAAAGTATTAATTTTCTTTTCATTTATACATTTATATCATATTTAATTTCACGTGTCTAAATATTATTGTGGCTAATGAATCTAGACAATTTTATTATGATTTCTTTTTAATTGACTGCGTCAACTTCATTCTGCATTATTGTTTCGTTAATAAAGGAACAATTTTGTATCACTTTCTTGCATATATTTGTTTTCTACAACCGTCAAAATATTACAGAGCATACGATTTCTGGGGTATATCTGGGTGTCCGAATATTAAAGTGAGCCACTGCACGTCTCCTAAATTAGCAGGGCCCTTTTAACAGAAACAAAAATCACTATACGTAATATTAAAGGCTAATTATAGACTAATTATGTGCCCTATTCACGAATTTACGACTTTGCATTTTTTTAAAGACCATGGATCCAACTAACTATAGAAAAATATCGCAGGACCCATTTTCAAAACACTAAGAAAACTAATCAGATTTATAAAACAATCATCAGGAAATTAAAGTTAAATCATTTAAACATAAAAAATAATATGGGAATTAATAATATATTATGTCGCGAAAAACATACGTTTATTAAGACAATATATTCCAAAGGTACAAAACTCGTTATATGCAACATTAAAGGCTGCCTCAAACCCCCTTCCCCCTTTTCTGCCTTACGTAATATATGGACGACTTCTAAGTGATATTTTATACATTCTGAGGAAACTGTTCCGTTAATTCAATATTACGTGGTGCTTTGTTTCATTATTAAAACCATGGCATTTCAATTGTTCATTAAACCCACGAAATAACATTGCAATTGAAATGTAGCCACGCAATAAACTCGTTTTTCTCAGAATTTATAAAATGTCACTTATACCGTTGTGGTTTTTATCCATTCAAATGCCTGTTTGCGATACGACATACGACTCGTAACTCGACCTAGCAACAGAACAATGCAAGGTCATCGACCGGAGTACGGGCTGCGACTAGCAGCGCTCCGTTAACCTCAGTGAACGTCAGTCGAAGGTTTTCGTGAATGTGTGAATTCTTTTGAAGTAGTTGTACCCCACTGAATGCAACGCCGCAGTTTTTCTCTCTCTTTTTTTTTTACTTTTTTACTCTTTTACGACACCATAGTAGTTTGTTGTTTTTTCATTGCCTAATGACATATGCGGTGACGCCAGTTTTTCTCTGTTAATGTTGACTGTGTGGGATCCGTTAATTGTGCACGTGCCTCCAAATGTTCCTCAATGTACTGGTCAGCCTGTATCTCCACAAAGTGACTATCAGAAGCATAAATTCAAATTCCGCGCCTAGAGGTAATCAATAATCCCGGCATTTTCGTGAACGAACATTTTATCTCAAAAACGCTTTTTAGTATATTATGATATTTAGAAAAATATACAGGAGACCACCATGTATGTGACAATATTAAGCACAAGGTTCTAGTTCATATGAATTTGGGTTAAAAATAATAATTCGAGCATTCCAGGAGTGTCATCATTTTTTATAAATGTTGGATCGCTGTAGAAACCAAATATAGATCTGCAGAATAAATGGCTATTCTTTATTTTCAAACAAAGTGACATGGCTGATTATTTGTGGATGTTGCCATCAATTTTTTTGTAACAGTATAATACAACAGAACTTCCATGAATTGCGGCTCAGAGTCGCACGTCCACATATTATAATAAAATAAGAAGGTAGTGTTATATGTCGAACCCAGGATTGTAAAATCAATGTAATATTTGAAATACAAATGTTAATCAATATTGTAATAAATGTAATATTAACGGAACAAAAATTAATAATTAGTTGAATTTAATTAGTTAATAAATAAAACTACCCCAAATGGCTGCCCAATGTATAGTTAAAATTTAGGAAGTTAAGTGAAATTAAATTAGTAATATCATAAAACTATCACAGTAGTAAATAAATGACACTACTCACTTGCCAGTTGGTGGGTCGTATGCAATTCCGCGCCACCTCGACCCCGCGTCATTTTCCCTCATGATGACGCCGCGAAAGGACTGGTGGCAAAACATCAAGAGTTTGAGCGCATCCAAGTCGTCTTCGTAGTCGATGAGGTGTCTGTTGCGTTTCTTTTGAGGGCGCCCCCTCTCCTTCCCCTCCGGCACTCCCCTTTTCACTGGGCCGCGCTGCAGCCGCTCAGCGCCCACCCGCTCTGACGCCCTCTGCCTCAGCGCACCCTCGTCCCACTGGTCCATCTCTTTGAGACTCATTGCTTCCTTCTCGCTCTGGATCGGCTGCATCTGCTCAGCGCCCACCCCCTCCGACGCCCTCTGCCTCAGTGCACCCTCATCCCACTTGTCCTTAGCCATCTCTTTGAGATTCTCTACTTCCTTCTTGCTCTGGATCTGTTGAATTGCTTCAGGGAACGTTTCCAATTGATATGCAAATCCTCTGATGTACCGATTAATACGATGCAAAGGATCAGAGTAATGTAGAGAAGTCTCAAATTTCACTATATGTCGTGCAATACGATTAGCCCTATAACCTTGTGAGCCAAAAATGTTCGGTACATAGCCCTTATTATGTAATTGAGGTCTGCTTACCGCCATAACGATAGGCACACCTGAATTTAGCTCTATATTTCGATGAGTAGATTTGGTAGCATACTGAAAATGAAAGAGATATCAAATATGTTATCTAATGTGTGTTCAGCTTATCCTGAAGTATTTATGGATACTTAACCACATCGTCGTTGATGGTAGTCAACCTCCTCTGTGAAAAAAAATTACAGGGGGAAGGAAAGACTTTTTGGCCTTAATAATGTATAGTTGGCTAAATTTAAGAATTCTACACTTTCTATATAATGTCACCTGTGTCCGGTCCCGGATAATATGTAAACACTGTGTCGGCGATGCCCGAGCAGGCCACCGTGGCACAGGCGAGCCGAATAATTACCAAAGAAACAGCGCTATCTGTTATTTGCAGCCTGCGGCGCGACGGCGGAGAACTTCTAGCTTATGTAAAACACGGAAGGGTTCGCCGTAACGTCACGCCATCCCTTTAAATAGAGGAGCAGCTCACAAATCTTTCTGTACGAGACGCCGAGGTAAGAAGACGAGAGCAGGAGCGAGTATAAGTGCGCTGTAGTAAAGTTAGGAAGTTGCAACATCCGACGGGTGCTCAGCAGTGTATTTGAACTTAGCAAAAAGAAGAGGATTTAGGAAATTCGGCAAAATTCGTCGGTGGTACCGCAGTTATTCAAACTGACAGCAGTGATAAGAGATTTGAGTAATAGTAGTCGAGAGGAAGAGAAGCTAGATTATCACGAGGCGTCATAAGACTTTTAATTGGGCAACACAAAGTCTAGTGTTGAGGTACGCCGAAATTACGCCGCTAGTAACACGCGCCAGGACTGAACATCACACGTCGGCGTGCTACTGAAGAGCCGAAGCAGACGAGGTGTAAGGTGCCGGGGGCCAAGCAAGAAGAGCGCGGGAGCCGATTCCGAGGGAAGGAAGACGTGGGGGACAGCGTTGGCGCATTGTCGAGGACATCTGAACGGGAGAGCGGAGCGTCCGCGCAGAATCTGGGACAAGGTCAGCGTCGGCGAAGAAGCGAGGTTGGAGAGCCGCGCATTGTGTATGCAACCGCAGGTAACACATTTTGTAAAGGGATTGGAAGCAGGCAGAGTCTCGAATGTTGGAGCAGCAGCGGAAAAGCTGCAGTTCTAAATTTGCATAACCACGTAGATTGTTGTACGAACTAGATCACGGCAAAATAACTGAAGGGGAACCTACGTCAGTAATACAGTTCGTTCATGTGTTATATTTTACTATCAAAGCAGTGTCAATATTTGTTCGTCATTTCTGTGTAATCTTGTCGAGAAAAATTCACTGTGAATAGTTGTAGTTGGATAGGTCATTCAATAATATGTTGTGATTATTAAAATCTAAGATTTGTGTAGAAGTAAGGAGTTTAATGTGTTGTACTAATCAGTTCAAGGGATTTAATGTTTTGTTACTTTCAAACGTTGTTGGCCAAGCAGTAGTTACCATGCAAGGGTATTTTTTGTAAGAAAAAAAAAAGGAGTGCATTAGGAAGAAATATTCGAGTCAGTGAACAAACGATGTAAATTTTCAAATTGATTTAATAATAAACGATGTAATTTGATTTTGTGTTATATATGTATGTATGTATGTATGTATATGACGACTAGACTAACTGACAGCTGCTCTGAAAAGAAATAAAGAGAACAATAAAACATTATAGGGGATTTAATTTTTCATCAGTGTGTGAGTGTGACAGATTAATAACTGTTCTTAATATCTCACCCCATTGGGTAAATTACGTTGTACAGTTTAGAGTGTATTTAATTTTTCATCGGTGTGCGAGTTTGAAGGACTAATGACAGATCTTCACTTTTCACCTCAGTGTAATCTACGTAATACAAGTTGTAGTGTAATTTAAAGTGTCTTTGGTTCACTTACAAGTATAAGTGAACTTAAGTAACTTCGAATACCATTTCGTACCAATGTTTATTTTAATAATTACATTAAGAATGAAGGAAATGGGCTTCCCTTTTCTTTGTGTTGTTCCCCAAATTTTCATTTAAAGAGCCCCGAACCCATTCAATAAGCCTATTTGTGCTCGGCCTCTCAGCAAAACGTTTTAGCGCTTTCTAGAACACATGATAGTAGAAACGGGGACTATCTCAATAATGGTATTAAGATTTATTTATTGTAATATGTTTCTGAAAGCACCTTACGAAAACCTCCCATGTGGCTCTTACCACAAATGTGGCATACTACCATCAATACATTTTTTTTTAAGATCACAATTTCAAATTTTCTTAGAAAATTTTCTGATCAAACTAAAGAACAAGCAAATTCTACATTATTGATATCGAAATTTAAAAATCGCCAATTCGTCTCAAAGGAGTTTGCCCATGATCGACGACGATATACTAAAAATTAGATTATCATATACCCTTTATTGCAATTAGTTTCAATGTACTTGTTTAGGTTCAGGTTCAATTGGCAAACATTGAAAGCGTGGAACGGAACAGTGACCTTACCTCAAATGATTTGTCTCGAATGGCTTCCGATGTGTCTCTAAAGAGGAAGAACAGCAGGCGGAAAGATGAATCGGCCGCAAGCACATAGGCCCGGGCGCCTTCCAGCCACTCAGGCGCCGAACCCACGATCGGTAGTTCAGCCGCGCGCCACAGCAGCAGCGGAGTATATGCGAGACATTTGCTTATTACTGGCTTGGGGGTGACCCCGGGAGGTTCTTGGCCGTTGCGTTGCGGGACCAGCGGAGTGATCGCCGAGGGAGAGCGATGTCCCGGGACGATTTCCGACGGGCGGACCGAAAGTTGCCGAAGACGCCGCCGCCGTTGCCACGGCGGCCCCGCCTCGTCTCAGCCAGCAGGTGGTATTAAAAGCATAAACCAAGGTAGCGTTATGATTGTGCACTTATTACCTAAGACCCTTTGCGCATTGCGTTTGGTTAAATATCTTTGTAAGAGTGTTTCAAATTATTAAAATATTTAAATGGCACAAAAGAATTTCTTATTGATCATCTTCCAAGGCAGCGCCACACCTGGAAGCCCGATCACGAAAATGTACCCGTCCTTTGTATAATTTTATTTTGCGTGAGAGTACTTCCCAGGTACGTTCACAATATATATTAATAATTAATATTAAAAAATATATTAATTATTATATATAATAAATAATATAATAAATATAATATGATTATAATATTATATATATATATAATATATATATATATATATATATGTAGGCGGCGTTTATTTAAAATTACAGTAATCCAAAATATGTTTTTTTTTGCTCAATACCGCCATTATTTTATTTCACGTCATTTAGCCAACATCGTTGTTTTCTGACGATGTCATCTTTAAAATGAACAAAAATGAAGTAATTTGAACAAAGTGAACGCGCAGCATATTTTCATTTTAGCCATATTATTTTAGTATTTTCAAAAATTTACTACGAACAGCTACTGCCTTGGACTTATTAAATTTGAAGAAATTAAGTGAATACGGAGAAAACAAACTGTGAGAGAATGAAAAGTACGTTTTTATATCTGCTTCTCAGTTTACGCTTTAGAATACCGTTTTCAAATGAAAGGTGACCCAATATTCTTATTAAAAGCTTCACAAAGACTTAATTTCACAATAAAAACATTTCAAAACAGTCGTCTTTTAATATTTATGTTTTACGTTGCCGGTGATGTCGGAGATGCGGGATTGCAAGGGTTCAATTAAAACCCAGCATACCCTTAATAACAACATTTAATTACACTTTAACGATGATTATGAGAACTCCACCTCGCGGTTATTGCTGGGTTGGAGTCGAGTAGCTAAAGCAAATGCCGTTGGCCGGTCCGAAGCCCGGATAAAAAGGAAGGGAGGGTTTTCCGGGTTGAGGCCAGAGACCTGCCCGGGTAAAAAATGTTCATAGAACAAAAAGGATAAAGGCCTCCCGGATCTACGATTTTAATAAGACGAATATGGAGGTACAAGGACATCGAAATGAAAACTGAAAAACAGGACTGAGGACTGGGAACGTGGAAATATTAGGAGGCATTGGAACACAAAGTATCAGGAAATCTTAATGGAATTTAAGATTACACACAAAACATAGATCTATGCTGCCTTCAGGAAACGAAAAAAAAGGTAGAAGCATTAACACAAAATTTAAAATTAATTTACACACTTATCTATAGTTGGAGTACAAAAATTCTCAAGAGCAAGGAAGGAGCAGGCAATCATAATAAAACAATAAACATCTCGATAAGATAATAGACTACAAGTACATATCCCAGGAAAAGAATTGTTTACAATGAAAAATTCAGATCCTAAAACATAACCAAGATCTCAAAATAATCATAATCTCAGTCCTATTGCTCCCTGAAAATAACAAGCCTAAACACGAAAGACAAACGCTTCTAGGAGAACCTACAAAGAAGTTATAACCAGACCAAATCCAGAGGAGACAACTATAATAGCAGGCGACTTAACGCAAGAATTGGAAATGCCGTTATCCTTTGGTATAAGAAACAGCATTCAACGAAACGCACCTAAATGAAATGAAGAACTGCGCGTCATCGAGTTCTAGCCCTCGAAATGAATTAAGAATTAAATATACCTTCTTCCGATCACAAGGATCAACATAAATACACATGGGGAAAATAATAGGGGACACCGAACCATAATAGATTTATGTGATAACGAATATAAGGTGTCACCCATCAAACATCTTAGATATAAGAAGCTCCACAAGCGGCAGATATTAGAAGTGACCGATAATCTGGTGCTAGCCAAATTAAGAACGACACTTAAACGGAAATAAAAACAATACCCAGGGTATAACAATAGGTTTCCAAAAATTAATATCCAATCCCTTCAAGACGTTGTCAACACCAAAAACTTTATAGAGAATCGCTTTAAGACGAAGAATCCCAGTAACAACGGAATTAGGGAAGGAAGATGATATGAGACAGGCCCGGGAAAAATAAAAAACTAATATACTCAAGTCAGCGGAAGAAGCATTAGGAAAACATTAACCAGAAAAAGTCAACAGCAAACAAGGCGGAATATACCATGCCGTATACAGGAAGTGCCGGTTTTAAAAGAAATAAACTAGGCCGAAAAAACTCCAAACATTTCTGAAATACAAACAGTCTAAATTATTACAAGACTATGAAGAAAACAAACTTATAAGAAATCAAATTAAATATAAAGATCAGGAAAA